TCGATCAATCGATGTAAGTATGAGGTAATTAGGTAGTTAGTAATACGGCTAATTAATCTTAGTATGAGGTAATTGATTAATTTATTACTATCGCTATGAAGTAATTGGACATAGTATATCAATAGGTAAGCAGGGAATTAACTTTGTCTTTTCTGCGAACCCGACTTTTGTTCTGGTTATGTATTATTATTATTTGATAGTGTGTCACACCAATTTTTGTCATAGCAAATTAACGGTAATCGACAAATTTTGGCCTGCATTATATAATTGTTTAAGTAATTTTCATAAATCTGGCTTTATTTCGAACAAAACTTTAAGAAAAATATAGTTATTTATTACTTAAGCCATTTATTGAGTCTTGTAGATACGTACGTACATAACATTATAATATCAGATATTGACTTCTATTATTTTAGTAATTCATCTATAAAATAAGATTGTTGTTAAACTTTATACAAGTACACAACTGCTGTTATTTTTATTACATGCAAATATGATGATTAAAATTTAGCTCTTAAAACATATTTTCTGCATACATCTGTTAGCAATTTTAGGTACGCGAATTCAGGCGATGCTAATTTCGATCCTTGGTTATACGTATATATTATGACTCGCATAAAATGAAATTTTAAAAAACTTTTATATAACTTTATACCTGATTAATACAACTTCAGGCGGATGCTAATTTCAAGTACGACATGGTTACATACTTAGTAGCTTGCATAAAATTATAATGACTTACATAAAATGAAAGTAATTTCAAAAATTATAACTTTATTCACGTTACCACCTGATCAGATAGATGTATTGTAAGACTCTTATGTGAATTCTTTCTAAATAATTTAGATATAAAACAGTGTAAAATAATTTCTCATTGATAAAAATTATCATTTTGTATTTATGTTACATGAATTATAATTGTTGGGCTTGCATGATTTCACTTACCTATTATTGTTATTTATTCCAAATTCCAAATTCCAAATTCTAGGAACGGAGAGATATGTAATATTATGAAGCATATTAAGTACGTACGTATATGGTATTTTTTTAATGATATAGTCAGCAAAAATCTCATAATTCAATTGGAAATGCTTTAAATGCAATAAAACGTGAAATTCTGCACTTAAACTTCACGACATTGTGTTACATAGCATTATATTTATACGAGACTTGTTTAACCATATATACGTACGTACGTATGTACAGAACAGTGCAAGAAACCTCAATTACACTTTATGGAGGCGAAATATAATAATGGAATTAAATATTATCTAACTTTATATTACTATATTATTAATGTTAAGTATACTGGTTTGTTGTTTGGCCACGACTACATATTCTATCTGAAATTTGAATTAATGTAATCAAATAGAACATTTAATTTCTTAATTATTTACTTCAAAAAGTATTTCATTCACACTTTATTGATATCAATAATTTAGAAATTTTGTTTTTACAAGGTATAATAGTACTAGCTTGTGTCATTTATCACAACAGATTCTTGTCTCGAATAAATGCATGACGATTTATTTTTATAAAAATTTATTGTTCTTTGGAATCGTACTAACTAAATATGAATAATTGGCTGAAATTATCCATTAAATCTTTGTTCACATGAAAGCTAACAAAATAACAAATTTACTGTAGATATATAAAATAGTCTAAATTTATAAACATTAAGGCAGGATTCATATCCGATTTTATCTATACAGGATGAAGTAATTGGACAGAATAAAGGGCTGAGGGTAGAGATGGGCATCATGCACCTATCACTGCATGATGCTTAATCATCATATAGTATTACTTATATACTGTAAGTCTTGACATCCGATGTGATTTTTATAATATTAATATTGTAACAATTAGGCACCATGCAGTGCCCACTTCTGCTTGAGTGATACAGATTTTGTCTCTCGGCGATCTATTCAATTTAAGATTTAACGTTTTTTTTTGTATCTTTGGCCATTAACCTAGCTTGTGATTATATAGTATGTAATGATAATCTAATAATAAAGGTACGTACGTACGTACAGTACGTAATATTGCTAATTCAATTTAGTTCACAATAATTAAGTATTTTAATACACGACTAATTATTAATTAATCTAAGCTTTCAAGCTCGCATATTTACTGCATCTTGTAATTCATTGTATTTTTTTTTTGCTTCAAATTACAGCACGTTATAATATATATGTATGTAGTTATCAATTTATTTTACGTCAGAACTATTAAATATTTCTAAATCAAAATTATCTGTTCCTGGCTTAGTGCGCAACTATTTATTTAATTTACAATTCCATATTACTAAATTTATTTAGACGATTTGCGTGATATTTGATTTGTCAATAATCTTCTTGGATGGCTAACTATCATAAAAGTATAATTTGTAAAATTTGTCAAGCCTGTTTTAGGTGCAGAGAAAGAATTCCATCATATAAAATTATATGATCAATTTTATTAAATTTAAAAACTATCAATTTGCCTAAGTATAATATAAAAATTGTCGATCTACAGTCAGTTTCATTTTCATATTATAAAGAGTTCACGAAATCCGTTTTAATTGAATCTTTTAATTTTCATTTATCAGAATTTTTAAATTAAAACAGCTGTAAATAGTATTCTTGCTCCGTCTAAGAGAATTTTTATACCGTATTTGCGCGTAATAACGCACATGGGCGTTATTTCGAAATTATTTTTTTAAAAATTTGTTTTTTTGACTCAAATAACGCGATCCCTTAAATATACTATATTTCATATTAGATTGAAATTTTCAAGCTAAATTCATTAATAAAAGTATGGCTTCCTCTTGTAACCCAAATTGGCAAAATGATTAGAATTAGCGCGCATGTGCGTCCCGAAATAACGCACAGGATCTCAAAATAACGCGCACCTGCGCGTTATTACGCGCAAATAGGAAAATAACATACATTTTTAGAGACATTAGTAACAATAAAGAATTGTCTAGTAACTGTAAATATACAGTAGAATCATATTATATACTGTACCGATTAAAAGAATCCCAAATAAACACAAAGTCTTCAATGGCCTACATCTATAACGAGATTTGTATTATATGTGTAGTATATACGAAAAAAGTAATTCCATGTCCAACCACTATCTTGTATACATTTTCTGGATGCTGTATGCAACTACTAGTCCCACAAGAAAAATTTTGCCCAACATCATCCTATATTACTGTATTAGCAGATTTATTCATGCAATTCTGCAATTACAGGAAATCCAAACCTCAAAAATTTATGCACTTTGAAGATAAATCTAAATCAGTTATTCACAATAGCAGACTATTTTAATTTTAAGTTTTAGAAGAAGTATGTACGTACGTACGTATAGTTCTATTAAGTATGATAAAGTCTAATATTATACTTGGCGCAATAGCAGTATCTTTATATAGAGATATTAAATTTTTTAAAATTCATGTTGTACATACGTACGTACGCATATAAAGATTTACCTGTTACGAAGACAATATAAAAACCCTTTGCAACGAATTTCATTCGAATTTCATTCGAATAAAATCGAATTCTGTTTCGACAAAATGATAAATATAAATGAAATACCGATACTATATTTAGTCATTGCAATAATTTCACTTCCTATAATTTTCTACATATTTTATCTATTATGTGAAAAAGATTCAATTACGGCAATTTTATCTTTACTATCAATTTTATGTGTTTTGGGGATTATTATTTTTCCTATTATACTCTTATGTTTAATTACCCCCAATGTTAGTTTTTCTAAAATAGAACAATATAAAGACAAAGTAATTTATGTCCCAAAACTTAATAATAGTACAAAAGAATTTGAATGTCAAAGTGATTCAGGATCTGGTACTGGAAGTCCTCAATTTACAATTCTCGGTCAAATATCAGTGTTTGGTGCTGTTGCAGGACTATTTTTTAATGTAGCCGTTTATGGTGTAACTTCTAAACTCGATATTAGAAAAACTTGTATAGTCGATGATTTTTTAATTCTTACATGCCTTATTTTACCTATTTTTTCATGGTTCTTTACTGCTAAAATTGATTTTGAGTTTTTTTATGATCATAATTATCCTTCCTACCATGTTATACTTTTCCCATCTATCCTTATATGGATGGCTTTATTTTCCATAGTAATTTCATGCTACATAGTATGCAGTTTTCATAATATATACTTATTTCCCTTAAATTATTTCAGAAAAAATATTCACAAAAAAGACAATAATGAAAAAGGCGAAAAAGAAGACAAAAATAATGAAAAAGACGAAAAAGGCAAAATTGAAGATGAAAAAGATGAAATTTACAAAATTGATATTGACAATGCCGATAAAGATGAAAATATCAAAAAAGTTAAAAAAGACCAAACCGATATAGATGAAAATAACAAGTTTATTAAAGCATCTTCACAAAAGCGATTTAGTTTCATTAAATCAATTCTTATATTCATTCTTTTTATTAATTCAGTTGCTATTCTTATTTATGATTTTTTTGAAATTCGATATGGCGCCGATTATAAATTATCCAATGATTTAGCACATATAAATGCTATTATTGATTTGGAATTTTTAAGTTTTCTTACAGATATTATTTACTTTATACTAGCCACTTTGTTGATTATAGTTTACTTTTTTGCCCATTATTTTAAAGATTCTTGTGAAAAAGCTCCCGAACACAATGTGATGAAAAAAGTTTACTTTATTATGAACAATGCTTACGAAAATTATAAAAATTCTCGTAAAAAATCCCCCAAACAAGAATCCCCTGAACAAGAATCCCCCGAACAAGAATCCCCAGAACAAGAATCCCCCAAACAAAAATTCCCCAAACACATTGTGATGAAAAAAGTTTTCTTTATTGTTATCTTTCTTTCCATAATCGAATGCTTTTTCGAATATAATAGGTTTTGTACCCCTAAAAGTATTGATACAATTTTTTTCTTCATTCTTTCCACTGTTTTAACTCGTTCAATTTCATCATTCTTCTCTCATGATAAACAAATCCGAGTTATGGATATCACAAAACCTGGTTTTTATCATACAGTTCCAAATAATGAAAAAAAAAAACATAAATTTGTTTTTCTAAAACTTACTGATAAAGAACAAGTATCTGCATTTTTGGGGAAACAAAGGCTTTATCTAAAAATTAAAGGTGACAATGATAATGATATTAAAAAAAATCAAGAATTTATTGATAAAATCAAACAAATTTATTTGAATTTTAAAATTGATAATTTTGACGAAGAGTTTTATAAAAATATTTTGGATTTTTGTAAACAAGAATGTACGCCAGAACTAGATAAATGGTTAAAAAAATTCGGAAAACAAGATTCAAAAAGTGAGCAAGAATCAAAAACAAATAATTATGAATTAATTAGAGCGATTCTCTTTGACCTTCGCAAAAAAGAACTAAATGTTAAAACTGAAAATCTCATAGCTGAAAAACTTATGGATTGTGCAACAATTTACGTTGATATTCTTGAAACAGGATTATTTCAATATCTAATTTATTCCCATAGATCCTACAATAAATATGATGACGAAAAGAACGACTTTAATGAAGAAAACTTAAAAGAATTTAAAAAATTTTTACAAGAGATTGATTTAGAAGCTATGAAAAAAAAGAATGATTTAGAAGACGGGAAAGATGTTATGAAAAAAAAGAATGATTTAGAAGACGGGAAAGATGTTATGAAAAAACATATTGATTTAGAAGACGGGGAAGATATTATGAAAAAAAATATTGATTTAGAAGACGAGGAAGATGTTATGAAAAAACATATTGATTTAGAAGACGGGAAAGATGGTATGAAAAAACATATTGATTTAGAAGACGGGGAAGATGTTATGAAAAAAAATATTATGGAAAAACATATTGATAAAATTAATGATATTAGAAAAAAATTAGGAGATTTTGAAATCCCCACGTGGCATGTAATTTTTTCAATCTCTGAATTCAAAAAAAAAAGCACTCGAAGGGATTAAAATTCAAAAATAACCAATAATCGATATCATAATCACGTAATTGTTTGAACTCTTATTTTTCATTTAATCCTATTTCAATTATTCTTTCAATTATTCTTTCAATTATTCTTTCAATTATTCTTTCAAATATAGTTTTTTCTTTTTTTGAGCATCTTTTCAGTTTTCTTTTATAATTTTTTTTTTTAAAAAAAATCTCTATCTATTTTAAATAAATGAAAACTGTATTTTAATTTAAGTCAAGCTTTGGTAAACCCTGATACGATATGAACTTATTCATAAAAAGTATCAATTAATTAATTATATCATCACATAATCCAATATCGATGTCATCGTGCAATTATTGTCATGCTTTTACAAGCCATTATTGGCTAACTGAGTTTTAATTCGAGATTATTGTGTTTATGTAGCAACGTAAAAATATGACAAGAAGGAATAAATCTAGAATCATAAGAGTTTTCACGATAATTGAGCAAATATGAAATATGCAAATATTATAAAATCTACCATTATTAAGCATCTTATTAAATGATTCTTTTATTGACCTCTCGTGATTGTCATTTAATAGATTATATTAAATAATTCATATTATAACTTTTGTCAAACAAATTTATGTCTATTGTCAGACCGATGAGCTGAGAAGTCTTATATTGCTTATACATACTTATTGCCAAAACTACATATCGAGGGTGTACAGTATATAAAAGTCTAACTTTGCTTATATATAAAGTATATACTATAATATAAAGTATATACTATATATAACACCTTATTACTATCTACATTAACCATCGACTATATTTGACATACCTTTTGCAACTTAGTTTATCGTGGACACTCTTATAATCATAGATTTTTTCTTGTTATTTTTTGTACGTTATTAAATAAGCACGAATTGAAACTCAGTTAGCCAATAATGACTTGTAAATGCATGATTATAATTGCACGATAACATCGATATTGGATTATGCAACGATTAATATCATAAAATTTGTTCTGTCAGAACAAATTTCATGATATTAATCGGTGCATTACCAATATGTATAAGATATTGGGCGTACGATGAAAAATAACTTCGAATTTTTTTTTCATCGGAATTAATGTAACTCCCATGTGCTGCGTAGCAGCACATGAGTGACATTAACTCCGATGAGAAAAATTTCTTGTTATTTTCGTATGTCC